GGGGGTCGCACACACACCATAGAGGTAGTTATTTTCTTCTTTCTTTGCTTCTTTCTTTCGTTTTCATTTGTTTGTTGTTGTTTTGTTTTGTATTGTTTTTCATGACCGGCCTCAAACTCAGAGCTCTGGCTGCCTCTGCCTCCTGAGTGCTGGGATTAAATCATACACCACCATGCCAGGCTTTACTTATTTAGTTTTTCACTGTTCCTCACTTTTTGGGGTTGTGGTTTTTGTGTTTTTGGGTGGGTTTTTTTGTTTGTTTGTTTTTTGTTTTTGCTGTTGTTGTTTGTTTTGTTTTGTTTTGACACAAGGTTTTTCTGTCCTGAAGCTGGTTTTGCACACCAGGCTGGCCTCAAACTCACAAAGATCTGCCTGCCTCTGCTTCCCTGAGTGCTGGGATTAAAGATGTGTGCCATTATGCCAGGCTGTTCTTCCCTTTTGAGTAACATTAGATTCCTCTGTCAGTCCCTGTTTAATTAAGTTCAAGCAGTTTGCTCAGTATCACTGACTTGGGGAGCTGTGCAGGGCTTGGAGTACTGTAACCTGACTTTGTTCTCCATGGCTTTCCCCTTTAAAAAGTGTTCTTAATAGAGACTCCCTTGTCTCTAGGAAGGCCTTAACATTTCAGCTGAAATCTTATACAGGAGCAATCCCCCCAGCTCCACGATGGACAGAGACAAAGGCAGTATTTTTGTGGTTGTTTTAAGATTTAGTTTTGTAACTAGTCCAAATTGGCTTTAAACTACAGACCCTCCTGGTTTCCAAGGGCTAAGATTACAGGCATATATTTTCATGCCTAGCTGACAAGAACAATACATGAATGAAATACATATATGTCTATGTGTGTATGCTTCCATATACCCATTTTTCTACTTATTTCTGTGTTTGGAATAAGATTGTTGCTTAAGTTTATTAAAGAGTTTGATTATAATTAAATATAACTAATATAAACACAGTTAAATGTAGAGGAATCTTAATTAAGAACACGGCTGCTCTGGCAAGGGATCACATCCAAAGACCTCCTAGGTCAGGGTGATCTGGCTGGAAATTCCAGGAGACAGAGGCAAGCAAACAGAGACCTCTGAGTTCAAAGCCAGCCTGGTATGGAGCAAGTTTCAGGTAAAGAAGAGCTTTGGTCCAGCCTTGGTGGTATACGACTTTAATGCCAGCACTCAGGAAGCAGAGGCTGGCAGATCTCTGAGTTCTAGTTAGTGCTGTTCAGGCAGTTCAGCTGAGTCAACAACTTGAGAGGCAGTGCACTGGAGTTGAGTTTGTGGCAGTTCAGTTCGTGGAATTAAGAGGCAGTTTCTACAGATGGTAAGGCTTTGTGGTTTGTTTTGTGACAGAGTCTTACTATGTAGCTGAGGCTAAACTTGAGCATGAAATCCTCCTGCCTCACTTTTTTGAGTGCTGAAATTACGTGTATGTGCTGTCGAACTCTGACCACCAGTGCACTATGGCTCTGACTCCAGAACCAGGAGTCAAAACAACTTTTTGAGACAGTGTTTCATGTGGCCCAGGCTTGCCTCAAACTTGCAAGTAGATCTTTGTAATTTGGAGACCAGTCTGGTCTACAAAGCAAGTCCAGGACAGCCATGCTACACAGAGAAACCCTGCCTCAAATAAATAAATAAATAAATAAATAAATAAATAAATAAATAAATAAATAAATAAATAAATAAATAATAAAAAGAAAAAGAAAGAAATAGAGGGAGCTGGTCACTGGCCTGCTTCCACCTGAGGCACCCATGCAAGGAGCAGGAGCTACCAGTAAGGGGAGGGTAAAGCCAGCAGAGAGCTGAAGGCAGAAGCAAGAGACAGAACAGTTGGTGGACTGTCAGGGCCAGGCCAGTCCCACTCAGGGCACGTTGACTGGAAGCTCTACTTCTCTTCACACATGTAGTATTTGTCTTGGGTCCTTGATCTGGGGGAGACATTGTCCCCTCCCTCCACTTCTGTCCAGACAATGATGATGCCTGGTGCCACTAATGTAATACCAAGTAGATAGATTATGATTTTTACTCTTTTTGTTCTCTGTCTAAAATAAGTTCCTGCAGCCTCTCGCAATGAACTCTTTGAGCCATGATCCTTCATATTTAGCTCAGGAAAAAACAACAACATTTTCTTTCAAGTACAATTTTCCTGGGTTTTTGTTTGTTTACTTGAACAGTCTCATTTTGCAGGCAGGTCTCAAAGGTGAAGCTGCCCTTGAACCCCTGATCCAACTCCTGAGTGAGGAGTTTCTTTTCTTACCCAGAGAGTGCACAGAGTATGTACGGGATGGGGGTAGGGAGCTGGGTGTAGCAGCCCCTACTGCATGAGTGACAGAGAAAGGGAGCATTAGTGCAAGAGGGAGAGACTGGTGAGCCTGAGAGAGTCTGTGTCTCTGGCTACCTCTCATTTCCCACCCCACATTCCTGCCTCTTGAACAGGGTACCTCCATGTCTTTTCACTGCCAACCCTGGAGTGGTTGTGAGCTCCTTAATTCCTGGAGTTTCTTTGTAGTTCTGTATCCTGCCTGGAGGGGATCCTGAGGAAGGAATGTTGACTTAAGAACTAACACAGGGTACTATGCCCTTTTCATCTTGACTCCATTTCTACCTCAGCCCTTCAAGTTGCACTTCATCCTGCTTGCACAAACAGGATTCACACAGATTCACCTTTTCCTCTTTCAGGGCCTGAGGGCTGGTATGATCAAATTATGTGTCCTTCTGAGCACGGCATTCTTCTGTGGAAACCCAAAAGGTGTTTAGCCACTCTGAAAAGCTCCCACCCAGCTTAAGTTCACTCATGTTGGCTCTGTGAACAGGCCAAGTGGAGAATCAAAAGCTATGAAAAGTTAGCAAGGCTTGTGTGTCATTCAGCATCGTTCTGGCCAGAAGGGCTTTGACCTCAGCACTGGTCCAAAGGCAGCAAAGCTCCCTCCCGAGGCTGCACCGCAGGGTGGTCCTCCCATGCGGTGCTTTCTGCACTCTGGAGCTTGCCACAATGGAATCCCCTCTCAGAAAATCCACCTGGATAGAATGTTCATACTTAGTTATGGAGCCTCAGCCAGGAGCCAGCTGTTCTCTCACCAATCCCTAGTTAGGAGATTTTCTCCCTCTCGTGAATGAGGACTCCTTACTGAGTCTGTGGGCTCCTTTCTAGTCACCAGGGTTTGCAGAGTCAACGCTGACAGAGCAGGCACTGAGTGGAGCAGGGCAGCTCTGGCTGTCAGGCCCCTTAGTGTCACTGAGGGAGTTAAGAGTTCTGGGTTTTCAGGAGGATGTGGGAACACAAGGATGTGGTGCACTTGCCATCAGAGCCTTAAGTGGGAAAGAAAGATGGCCAGGGATGAAGGTGCCTCTTTTCTTCCATCGTGTGGGCATTGTTCAATCTGACTTGGCACCTGTTGGTGTCCTGTTTCTGATGAGCCTGAAGCCATTTGGGTGCCAATGTGTCTGGACCAGCAGAGTCCAGTCTGGTTGGGAATATGTGACAATATGATGGTTGGCAGCTGGGAACATGTGGTTCAGCATCTAGGCTTCCACTGAGTGACAGGGTATCAGCATTTAGAGAGAGGTTCAAGTCTGGGGACATAAGCATGGGCTGTGTCAGTGGGCTGTGAATTACTTTCTGACACCAAGAAATACAGGCAGCCTTGTAAACTTACTCTTCAGAGACAAAGCTCAAAGGCAACTTGGTCCTGACTTCTGGCCAAGAAACTCATCTTTCCTTTGATTGAACGTCCAATTGCATTAGCTCAACAAATAGCCAGAGGGCATTAACCGTTGGTTTTAATTGTATGCCATTTAGGTCCTTACAGCTTCCCAAAGACTACCACCCCACCCTCCAAATTGCAAACTCCACCTGGATGCCCTGTTCCTGGGAAGATGCTGGAAAATTCCTTCCAGATTTCTAGTTACTTAACTAGTTAGTTGCCAGGGGTTGGAGTGAGTGAGGGGCAGATTCCTGCCTGACCCTGAGAGGAGCTTCCAAAGATTGACAGCCAACTCAAGTGCTCTTTTGAAGCAGAAAAACTCTTCCTGTTGGTGTCTCTGTGCCCCTCAGATGGACAGTTCTTCACGGGAGGTCCATCAGGTGCCCTTTAGTCTCCAGTGTGCCATGCACACCCTTGGAGAATGTTTGCAATTTTTTCTCATGATTTTGTTCTTCATATGATACTACATTTTTAAAAATCGACTTAGAGCCTAGCCAGTAACCCAGCACTTAGGAGTCTTACAGCAGGAGGAGTGTGAGTTCAAGGACAGTTTGGGTACACAGTAAGATCTTCCTTCAAAATTAAAGGTTATTACACTGAGACCAAGCTGGCTTCAAAGTTTCGATGATCTTTCTGCCTCAGCCTCCCAAGTGCTGAGATGACTGATGGGAGTCAACAAATGAGATTTACTCCAATTCCTATTTTTACTTTACCAGGCATTCCATACCTGAGCCATTTTAAATATACTTTTATTTATCGTTATTTTATGCGCACTAGTGTTTTCTCTGCATGTATGTCTATGTGAGAGTGTCAGATGTGGGTGCTAGGATTCGAACCTGGATCTTCTGGAATAGTAGTCACAGAGCCCTGGCTGTCCCCAACTGACTTTGTAGACCAGGTTGGCCTTGAACACGGAGAGATCCGAGAATCTCTGCATCCCCAGCTCCGGGATTAAAGGTGTGAACCACCATGTGCAGCTCATTTTTAGCCTAAAAATCCAGATGACTTGGGGAGAGCATCCAGAAATATTATGCACTTGGGGGTAGGAGTGTGGCTCATTAGGGCACCTGGTTTAGTGTGTGGAAAACCCCAGGCTTGATCTTCAAAACACACACACACACACACACACACACACACACACAGGAGATTGGCACATTTTTGTTTGTGACCCATGTATCCCTTCAACCCACTACTTTCCACAGAAGCCCAGAAATAACCCCACTAGCCCAAGTCAAGCCTTGGCAGTTGCATTTCAAGGCCTCTGCCAGCCCCTTACTCCCAAAGCACAAAGACAAGCTCAGTTAATCAAATCAACTTTTATTGTCAGTTACATGCTTTGTAGAAAAGTGTGGAGACCGGCTCAGGGTTGTGAAAAAGGACAGGGTTTGTACACGTTGCTCTATTTACAGGCAGTTGTGGGCACCCACTTCAGGGGCAGCAGCTGACTTGTCTGAAGCCTCTTTGCAGATGCAGCCCTGGGAGCACTTGGCACAGCCCTGGGGGCAGCAGGAGCAGGAGCCTGGGGGAGAAGAGTGGACCATGACAGAGACCCAGGCAGAGGCACCCCACCTGGATGCTCCCAGGAAGGTGGGCAGGTGAGGGGCCCGAGGGGAGTGAAGGGGAAAAGTAGAGGAGAGCCAACTCACTTTTCTTGCAGGAGGTGCATCTGCACTCTTTGCACTTGCAGGAGCCAGCGCAGGAGCAGCTTCCATCTGGAGGAAGAAGGCAGTGAGCAAGACCCAGGCGCACATGAACGCAGGAGTGCAAATCCCTAACTGAGTTTGGGCGAGCCACTATCTCCAAAACAAGATAAAGTGGGGAGGGGAAGTTCCAGAACTGGTTAGGAACTGGCAATCGGTATTAGCCTAAGGGTGACTAAGGAGGAGACCCAGAACAGCCTGTCTGATCTCCCAGAACCTCGGGTTGCTGAGCCCTGTCAGCAGTCAACCTTACCTGTTGCACAGGAGCAGTTGGGGTCCATGGCGGGTGGAGGCAGCGGTTGAGGACCGAGGAAAGGCTGGCGGAGTGGAATGCTGGAGGCTTAGTGGAGGGACCCTTTGCAGCGCTGCATTTATAGCGGGAAGGAATTGAGATGAGCGCAAAAGCTCCGCCTAGATGGAACACCACGCTGCACACGCCCCCGCCGCCTGCACACGTCCTTCTTCTTGCACGTGGGGTACGGTCTGCACACGCCCTGGTCCCTGCGCCCGGTGCTGCCTCCTGCTGCAGGTGGGACACAGCCCGCACAGGTCCAGGCGCAGAGTCACAGCCTTTCGGCGTTTGGGCTGAGCGCAGAGGGTTTGCCCTTGGGTATGTGACAAGTTCCGGGAAGCCTGCCACCCGAGCTTGCCTGTGCCCCTGGGCACGAGGGGCCGGGTGCAGAGGGCGTGTGGAGCAAGGGGCCCCCTGCCGCGTGTCCAGTTTACCCAGCGCGGACACAGCTCCCAGCCGTTGTCCTGTGGAGAGAGTCGGGCTTGCAGACCCTGGAAAACTAACTTGGAAGTGTGAACAGGTTACAAAAACCAGTCCTAGCCCAGACTTAGTCGCTGCTGGTGAAGTTTCCACCGCATGTGCTGAGCTAAGGGACATTGTGTTAGAGCGCTCATATTTCCTTACACAGCAGTGAGGACTGTTCACAATTAAAAAAAAAAAAAAAAAAGGTGACTGAGGTTCAGTCACGAAGTCACTTGCCCAAGATGACTGTAGAGTTTGAATCCACTGAGGGGCCAGCCAGGAGATAGCCAGTCTAGAAACCAGAAAAAACGAAAGCCTTGTGCTAAGAAGGCTTAGTCTCTGGGTTGGAGGTGGAGCAGCAACAGTTAACAGGCAAAGTGATGGGGCTCTCTGCTGGAGGTGGAATCCAAGAGCAGGAGAGCAGTCCATTCTGGTGAAAGATCCAGCCTTACCCTGAGTTAAACATAGCTAACGCCATTTTGTGAGACACTACTGTTTTGTAAAACTCTGAAGGCCAGATGAGAAACTGGAAAATTACTGAAAACACCCAGCTGTGTCACTCACTTGGGATATTTGTGGTCAGGCCGCCCCAATTGAGCTAAAAACAACTTGTTATGACCACCCTCATGAGATATCTGTCAGAGACTGCTCCAACTGAGATAGGGAAAAACAAAATAACAGGTGGCAGGCCACGTCAGGGGGTCATCATAACCCCCTTGACCACCCAGTTCCTGGAATCTTGGTGCCCCTGCCAAACTTTGACGCAAATCGTGGTCTCATGTAAATGTACCAATCAGCCCCCTGTAACCATGCCTCTCGCTTCTGTACCAGTGCTTCTGCTCTAAAACCCTATAAAAACCCCAGCTTCCTACCTGGGGGGCGCGGAAGTCTCCCGAATGACTTTTCACCCCGGGTACCCGTGTATCAAAATAAAAGCCTCTTGCTGTTTGCATCCGAATGGCCTCGTTGATCCTTGGGAGGGGGTCTCTCTGACGGAAGATACCCTCCGGGGATCTTTCACTGGGAGGATATGGACCAGGGCATTCTGCCTGAGGGCGACCTGTTGTTTGCCAAGCAGGGTCAGATGGTAGTGTTCACTCGTGCTGTCCCAACCCCCTCCCAGGAATAAGCTTACTTAGCAGAAGCCTGTGTCTTTCTGGTCTCTAGCCTCTGGCTACCTGCTTGCTGGGGCTTCAGGAGCTTAGATCCCAGCAAACATCTTGAGCAAGTGACAAACTACATTATTTGTTTTTGTAGTTGTTTGGGTATTTTGTTTGTTTGTTGTTATTTGATTGCTTCCTTTTTGCTTTTTGAGACAGGGTTTCTCTGTGTAAAGCCCTGGCTGTCCTGGAACTCACTTTGTAGACCAGGTTGGCCTGGAACTCTCAAGAGATCAGGCTGCCTCTGCCTCTGGAGTGGTGGGTTAAAGGCCTGAGCCACTAGGTCCAGGCTGTCTGTTTACTATTTATTTGTTTGTTTTGAGGCAGGGTTTCTGTATGTGTCCTTGGCTGTCCTGGACCTTAATTACTGTGTAGAGCAGGCTGGCCTTGAACTCAGTCCTCAGGCTGCCTCTGCCTTCTGAGGGCTGAGATTAAAGGGCTGAGCCACAGGCTGATGTGGCTGTGTGACTGCCCTCCTTTTCCACTTTTCTATTGTGAAAATAATGGAAGCAGCCAGCAGGGTGGGAGAGTTGGCAGTGCAGGCCTTTTATCCTGGCAGAGGCAGAGGCAGGTGGATCTCTTGTGAGCTCCAGGCTGGCCTGATCCACAAAGGGAATCTAGGAACACCAGAGCAATTACACAAAGAAACCCTGTCTCCAAAATCCCAAAACAAAATTGAAAACAAGTAAAGGATGGGAATGATCATGGAAGAAAAGCCCACATAGACCACCCCACCCCCACTCCACAGGTGAATGCTCCCAGAAGAGTGGAGATGGCAAGCAGTTTCTCTCTCTGGAGGCACAAGATGATTCCCCACTTGCTCACATCTGCTGAAATCAGGCTTGAAGTCATAGTTGGCATGTGTGTATCATCTGAGGAGCCAGGAAACTGTTTGGGAAGCTTCCTGGCAGGCTGGGGTGGAGTTCATTCATGGAGGCCTGGGGGGGGGGGGGGTCAGGTGACAGGACAGGCTGTGCTTGCAGCTCTTACAGTAACTTGGGGAAATGCCTTCTTGGCTCAGCACAGGCATCACTCTCACTTGGATGCCCACAGGTGCCCATGGAATGTGTACTAAACATCCTGTCCTTTCCCTTCCTGGCATATTCCATGGCTGCACTGTGTTTGAACTTGAGCCTGATTGATTTCCATGCTCCTGTGCTCCCTTCCAGACTGACCTCAGAGCAGCCTTTGGCCCTGTTGGGCTGTATCTCCAGCCTCAAGCCAGGATGGAGTTGGCAGACATCACAGTTCTGATAAGTTCTCAGAGGTAAATTCATGGAGGTACTCCCTCCCCCACCCTGCCTGGGGTTACTCCTGCCCAGTTCCCAGTACCTTTAGGACTCTTGATTGAGAAAATTAAAGAGCCAGGCTCAGTGGCACACACGTGTGATCCCAGCACTCTGGGAGGCAGATCTCTGTGAGTTCAAAGCCAGCAAGGTCTACAAAGTTAGTCCAGGACAGACAAGGCTGTGAAACCTCTCTCAAAAAAAAAAAAAAAAAAAAAAAAGTAGGCTGGATATAGTGGCCAATATCTTTAATCCAGGACTCAGGAGGTTGTGGCAATATATTTTTTTGCAGCATAGTTTACAAAGTAAGTTCCAGTCCAGCCTTGCCTACATATCTAGACTCTGTCTCAACAAACAAAAAAAGAACAAACAGCAATAAAAAAGACAGTCATGTTTGGGTTGGTGTTACTCAGGCTTGGAATCTTAGCACTCAGAAGTTCAGCCTGGATTGTGAAAGCCAGGCCAGCCTGGGCTATATACTTAGACTGACTCTAAATAAATAACCAAACGTATAAGTAAATAAAACAGAGGCTAGGAATGTAGCTTAGAGTTAGAGCTGTTGCTGAGCATGAATGAGACCCTGGGTTTAATTCCCAGCATGGCAATTATTTAAAAATCTGTATGTCAATAAGTAAAAGCTTGGAAAATTCACCACCCTGATAGCTATGATTCACTCAATTAAAACACCATAAAGTGAGCTTTCAGAGAGATACATTCTGATGGAATTTGGCTCCTCATTTGCCCTTGAGGTACTTCCTCCTTCTTTACTCCCCCAATTCATTCCACCTCTCTTTTTCTCCCAGACACTGAACCCTCATGTGTAAATACTTTCCCTCTCAGCTTCCCGCCAGCCCATTGTGTAGTTGAGAACCTCAGTTTATTCATTGTCAACTAATCAGATGGTACTAAAATTCCCCTTCCTAACATCTTCTGCTTTGATTTTCTTACTTAATTCTTTTTCTTTTCCTCATGTTGCTGTGTGTGTTTTGCATGTGTGTAGTAATGTCCATGTTCATATGCCTGTATGTGGAGGTCCTCAGCTGATATCAGGAATCATCCTTCATTTTCCTCCAGTTAGTGGACTGTTTAAGAAAGATTAGGGGGTATGGCTTTGTTGAAGAAGGTAGATCACTGGGAGTGGGCTTTGAGGTTTCAAAAGCCCAGCTGGGTCGTGGTGGTGGTGGTGGTGGTCTATGCCTTTAATCTTAACACTCAGGAGGCAGAGGTAGAGGCTGGTGGATCTCTGAGTTCAAAGCTAGCCTGATCTACAGAGCCAGTTTCAGGGCAGCCAGTGCTACACAGAGAAACCCTGTCTCAAACAAACAAACAAACAAACAAACAAACAAACAAA